CTGACTTCAGGTGATCCTCCCACCTCAGCCTCCCAAGGTTCTGGGATTACAGGCATGAGCCACCATGCCTAGCCTAAAAATACCAACAAGTTTTTAAATTTTTTAATGGAGTTTAAAAAGTTGATACTTATGGAAAAATAAATATACAATAGCTATGAAAACACTGAAAAAAAAAAAAACCAGGGTATAAAGAAGGAGTAACCATCAGATATTAAAACATAGCAAAAAGCCTTTATAATTAAAATAGTGTGGTATTAGTGTACAAATGAACAGACCAATGGAACTAAACAGAAAAGTCAAAATTACAAATGGAATTTATGATAATGTCAGTATCTCAAATCTTTTGGCTAAAGATAGCCTTTTATTTTATTTTCTTTTACTTTTTAGAGACAAGGTCTCACTATGTTGTCCAGGCTGGTCTCCAACTGCTGGGCTCAAGGAGTTGCCTGAGTTGGTCTTGAATTCCTGGGCTTACCCACCTTGGCCTTCCAAAGTGCTAGGATTACAGATGTGAGCCACTGCATCCAGCCAAATATAAATTTTTAAGTAAATGCTGTTTACCATTTTGTGGTTTTACCACAAAGAAAGTATAGTCATTTGGAAAAGAGTCAAATAATATCTATTCCTCACCCAATACGAGAGTAAATTCCAAACAGAGCAAAGGCCTGAATGTAATAAATGAAACATCATATGGGTGAATTCTCCTATAACCTGTTCTGTAACCCAAGTGTAGATTAGAAAAGGCTTTCTGATTATGACTTAAAAAAAGAAAAAAAAAAAAAAAAAAAAAGAGTGTTAAGCCAGGTGTGGTGGGTTACCCCTGTAATCCTAGCACTTTGGAAGGCGAAGATAGGAGGACACTTGAGCCCAGAAATTCAAGACCAGACTGAGCAACATGGCAAAACCTCATCTGTACAAGAAATACAAAAATTAGCCAAGCATGGTGGCACGCATCTGTAGTCCCAGCTATTTGGAAGGCTGAGGTGGGAGGATCAACTGAACCCAGAAGGTAGAGGCTGCACTGAGCTGTGATCGCACTACTGTGCTCCAGCCTGGGTGACAGAGTATGATTCTGCCTAAAAAAAAAAAAACGGTGAGGCCAGGCCTGATGGCTCATGTCTGCAATCTCAGCACTTGGGGAGGCTAATGCTGGTAGATTGTTTGAGCCTCGTAATTCAAGGCCAGCCTGAGCAACAGAGCAAACTCTCCATCTCCATAAAAAATATAAAAGTTAGCTGGGTGCAGTGGCACATGCCTATAGTACCAGTTACTTGGGAGGCTGAGGTGGGAGGATCGCTTGAGTCCCAGGGGGCAGAGGTTGAAGAGCCAAGATTGTGCCACTGCACTCCAACCTGGGCGACAGAGCAAGACCCAGTCATTTAAAAAAAAAAAAAAGCTAGGCACAGTGGCTCACATGTGTAATCCCAGCACTTTGGGAGGCTGAGGCGGGCAGATCACAAGGTCAGGAGTTCCACACCAGCTTTACCAACATGGTGAAACCCTGTCTCTACTAAAGATACAAAAAAAAATTAGCCAGGCATGGTGGCACATGCCTGTAATCCCAGCTTGGGAGTCTGAGGCAGGAGAACTGTTTGAACCCGGGAGGCGGAGGTTGCAGTGAGCTGAGATCATGCCACTGCACTCCAGTCTTGGCAACAGAGTGAGATGCCGTCTCAAAAAAATAAATAAAGGTTGATAAACTTATTACATGAAAAAATTATACAAACTGAATGACATTAAATACCATAAAGTCAAATTGGTAGAAAATATTCACAATATTTTTCAAAGCATCAAAGGAAAGGTCCTAATATTCCTAACGTACAAAGAACTTCTAACAAAGGGAGGAGGAGAGGGTGAGAAAGACCAAACGTCCTCATGGTAATGATGGTTGTACAATTCTGCAAACATGCCAAAAGCCACTGAATTATATATTTGAAATGGGTGAAGTTCGTGATATATAAATTATGTTTCATTAGTCTTTTTGGGGTTTTTTTTGAGACGGAGTCTCGCTCTGCTGCCAGGCTAGAATGCAGTGGCGTGGTCTCAGCTCACTGAAACCTCCAACTCCTGGGTTCAAGCAATTCTCCCACCTCAGCTTCCTGAATAGTTGGGACTACAGGCATGCGCCACTACACCCAGCTCATTTTTGTACTTTTAGTAGAGACAGGGTTTCACCATGTTGGCCAGGATGGTCTCAATCTCTTGGTCTCATGATCTGCCCACCTCAGCCTCCCAAAGTCATTAGTTACTTTTTAAAAACCTATAGAAGAATAGGTGAAAGATTTAGAAGACAATTCACCCCCGCCAAAGATATAAATATAGTTCATAAATATATAATAATAAACCTCACTTGTAAGAGAAATGCAAATAAAAACTGCACTAAGATTCCACTTCTCACCCATCAGAATGACAAAATTTTAAAAGCTTGATAACATACTCTGTTGATGAGAATGTGGGAAACAGACTGTCTCATGAATCGTTGGCAGGAATACAAACAATCCCTATGGAGGAACACGGTAATCCTTTCAGTCCAATAATCCCAATTCTAGGAATTTACCCTGAAGATTCACCTTCCAACAATACAAATATATGAATGACAAAGCTAGTGTACATTGCTGCAGTATTTATAATTCAAACTACTGGAAACCAACAAAATGTCTAAACATCAAGAATGACTGAATAAACTCTGGTACACACATACATAAAATAGGGTACCATATAGCTGTTTTTTTTTTAAGAGGAAAATATCTCCAGAATATTTGAAGTATAAAAAGCAAAGAATAAATGAAGATATACACTATGCTACCTTTCGTGTAAGAAAATGGAAATCACTAAACTTCCATGGTCTGCTCATCTTATAAAAACATAGGAAGGATAAACCAGAAAACAATGAAATTGGTACCTTATAGGGGTAAGGGGCAGTTAGGATGAAAGGACTAAGATAACAGGTTACATCTGAGTAAACCCTTATGTAATTGTGACTTTGTGAAGTATATTAATTAATATTCCATATATCAAAAAATGCAATTATATCAACAAAGATAGTGGGAAAAAACTAAAACTGAAAGCATATGGAAAAAAATGAACCCAAATGTATTTCAAATGAATAAAATAATCACATTGAAAGAGAAGAAAAAAGAACTAATCCAAGTAACTTCTAGATACAGTATTGAGTACACACCCTTGTCTGGGAGCAGGGGAAAGGAGGAGGAAGGACTGAAAACAAATCCCAAGCCATTTTTAGTAGGTTGGTTTGGGGGTGGAGACAATGGTAAAAATGGAACATCTCTGAAATTATTTTAAATGATTGTAGGATTAAGCAAATGAGAAAATGTATTGATGACAGAAGTCAGGATTCTAACTGTGGAAGTAAGGAGATATAATACAGAGAAGAAAGCAAAGAAGAGCCTTGGAAGAACGGCCTGGAATTGGAGTATCAAGTGTGAACACATAACATCATGTGTGCATGCTTATACTTCCTAGTTCTGCCGCTGAAAGGGCTCAGAAGCAACGAGACCCTGGTAGCAATAAACATGCCTAACACCCAGAGCCTACTAAAAACCAGGGCTCCTTTGACAGATGACTAATTTCAAGGGTAGGGCAGGGACAGTATTGGACAAACCTGGAATATTTTGTTGGGACAGAAAATAAAGGAGGTATTCAAAAAAATGATGAGGGCATGTCCAAGGGGCACAACTAGCAGCCCCAATGGGGCTCCCGATGGCCATATCTGGAACAACTTTAGCATCAACATTAGAAGGAAATAATGAATTATAAATCATTGAGGGGAAAATAAGTATCAAAGGGTTCATAGTGATTATATAGACATCAATATATGTGCAAAAGGGAGGGTTCTTCCTTATAGAAGCACACCAAATGTCAAATGATGTATAAGGAAGGAGTGCTAGTGTTGAACAATCAACAATTTGTAAATAACATAGTGAAGATTGCTTTGAGCAAGAACCAATGATAGATGCTAAATCTTGTAAGAGAATGTCCTTATATTTAGTTTTAAAAAAATGACTTTTTTAGGGCTAGAAGAACTTGATGTATGGAACTTAAAATCAAATGTAAGTTGAGTTTTCTGAAAAAACAACTACGTTGTTTTCAGAAAAAAAAGCAATGTAGAGAGAGAACCAATGACAAAGCTAAGGCAAAGTTTTAATAACGGATGAGGCTGAGTGAAAGGTGTATGAAAATTCTAAGTATTCCTGTAAACTAACCATAAGCTTGAAATTATTTTCAAACAGTTAAAAAGAAAAAAGAAAAGAAAAGGCAAATCTTACATTTCTCAGTGCTTCATAAACAGCTCTAAATGCCGGTTGCTTATCATCATGGTAAACACCTCTGTTCCCATGAAGAATAAAGATTCCATCTTCTTCTGCTTCTTGGCAATTGCTTCCATAAATACAATGATCTGGTCGATAATTCCATTGACACGGAAAAACAAAAAGGCTTTCTATGTAAAGAAAAGACCAAACAATGAAGCAAATACCCCTAATTCAACAGATGTAACATTTTGCAAAACTTTTAGTTAAAAAATGCAGCTTTTATAGGTAAAAATTACAATAATAAAAAACATGTTTGGCATTTAGATCTCTTCCAATTAAACCAATATTCAAGAAAAGTTTTACTCTGTCTTAAAAATAAATAGCTATAATCATTAATGTAAGACAGAATCAGATAAATGCATGTTCTCCTTTTTCACTAAGTATTATCTGGAATTCTTTAATGCAAACAAAAGGAATTTAAATAATTACCTGGATTATGAGAAAACATGATATTCAATAGATCTTGATCACCCCATGTGATGTTTAGTTTGTATTTTTTAAGCAATGGCATAAGTATATCTCCCCATTGTAGTCGTACAGTTGTCATATCATTCTGTTGATTAAAACATTCAAAAGATCTTCAGATTTTCAGGCTTAAAATGGCAGTATGATGACAGTTCTACGTTCTTCCCACAACAACCATAACAGAGCCACAAAGCGAAATGCAAACTCCCCATGACATCAAGTGACATTTCTAACCCTAAATGTGAGAAAGGCTGTCCAGGAAAAGAGAATATAACAAAAGAAAGTGAGAGAGAGAGAGAGAGAGAGAGACACAGAATGTGTGTGTGTGTGTTTATGTAGACAGATATAAAAGTGTGTGTGTGTGTGTGTGTGTGTGTGTGTGTGTGTGTGTGTATGTTGCCGATTTCTTTCAAGTTTGTTCCTATGTATGCTATCTCTTTTGCTACTATTTTAACAGGGGAGGAGGGTTTTCCATTTTATCTTCTAAAAGGTTGCTATTTGTATATGTGACATTTCTAATCCTAAATGTGAGAAAGGCTGTCCAGGAAAAGAGAAGATAACAAAAGAAAGTAAGAGAGAGAGACAGAGAGAGAGAGAGTGTGTGTGTGTGTGTGTGTGTGTGTTGACAGATATAAAGATGTGTGTGTGTGTGTGTGTGTGTGTGTGTGTGTATACATATATATATTTATGTTGCCGATTTCTTTCAAGTTTGTTCCTATGTATGCTATCTCTTTCGTTACTATTTTAACAGGGGAGGAGGGTTTTGCATTTTATCTTCTAAAAGGTTGCTATTTGTATATTAGAAAATGCAAGCAAAGAATTCTGTAAAGAGGCACCATGAATGATACACAAAGTCAAAGAAGATTTCCTAGGGAAAATAACTGGGTCCAGTATAGCAGGTGTATGCAGTCCCATAAACTCTCACCATCCCAGAGGGAGGCAAGTTAGGACTGGCATCTTCGGCAGTATTAGAGACTGCACTCCACAAAAGAGATCCTAGTCTCCTGATGCCTCTCATACTATCAAAGAGCTGATAGATTCACCCAACCCATTTAACGACTATAAGCTTTGATATCAGAATTACAACCCTCCTAGAAAAGGTATTTTCCTATTCTTGGGTATCAACTGATTGACATATCAACACTGTTTTCAGGACGAGACCATACTAGGCTACCTGAGAAAGAACCCCTGGAATTAGCCACAGTAAATGGTTTGACTCTCCTTTTAAAAGTAGTGATTTCTGTATTTTAATTTCAACCCAGCCAAATTAACCATATATCCTTAATGTTTATAGTAGTTTTAATAGGTTGAGGTCTTCCAGGGATGTAAATATGTCATGCAAATAATGATAATTTTACATCCTATCTAATTTTTATACCTATTTCTTTCACTTGTCTAATATTGGAGCTTGTAATTCCTCCATGCTGAGAACCATTATTTAAATATTACTTGATAGTTATGGTCCCAGGCGCAGTGGCTCATGTCTGTAATTCCGGCACTTTGGGAGGCCAAGGCAGGCAAATCAACTGAGTTCAGGGTTTCGAGACCAGCCTGGGCAACATGGTGAAACTCTGAATTGAATACTGGACCTTTTAGAGCCCTATGACTCTTTTAAACTATCTAGAGTATAAACCAGCATTCTTAATAGTGCAGTTCACATAGTGTAATAATATGTACATTTTGTATATGTCCCCAATAAGATTAAGAAATTAAGTTCAGAAATTAAGAGTAAGATTTAGAAACCTTTACAGCAAATTGATAGTTTTATGTTTACTTAATATGTTTTTCCAGTAATCTATCTTTTACAGAAGTATTGGCTCATAACATACTGAATTTTTTTAAAAAATTAATCCTTTGCCATAGTTTGAGAAACAATGTTTTAAGCAATTTTATAATTTATAGTAAATTCAATGACAATATAAACAATCTGTCCTTTAAATAAAAAGATCAGAATTCATGAAAAAAAAAAATCCACGTACTTAAGTTGATCTACAATAGCATTAACCTTGTGTGAAATTTCTTGGATCACAGTATACATAGTAATTATAATCAGAATTTTTTTTTAATGTGGAAAATGACTAAAACAAGTTTTACTTAAGGAAATAATTTGAAAAGATAACTCTTTGAAGTAAGTCATTGAGTATGTTTAGGAAATATTAGGTTCTGAAAAGAAAAATATCAATTACACAAGGACAAAAACCAGCAACACATTCAATAGACAGAACTGGTGGAGCCCTTGTACAATCCCATGTTAAAGTCTTCATGTGAGTCTATCTATTTAAATATATAGAGAAATATAAATATAAATTTTAAAAATCAATATAAATCAAATATATATATTTAAATATATTATCTCACAAGAAATATATATATTCAAAGAAAATCAATGAAAGTCAAAATTAAGAGTCCAGTGCAGTCTTAGGAAAAAAAATCAAAAGGGAAAAAAACCTTAACTTTAAGAAAAAAGTCATATTAGAAAACTATTTGGAAAAGAAGCAACAACACTACTATTATTTGCTAATGATATAACCTAGACTATCCAAGACAATCAATGAAAAGCTATGAAAAATGAGTTTAATAAAAAGGCATTACATATAAAAGGAGTTCAAGTCAATAAGTAAGAGAAAACCAAGACGTGGGCAAAGGATATGGGCAAGCAGCCATTCACAAAAGGAGAAACAGAAGTGGCTACAAATTACAAGAAAAGATTTTTAACCACAATGGTAGTATAGTCAAGAAAAAACAAATTTTAAAATATATTTTTAGTTATACAACTACACATCCATACTAGTTACACACACACAAAAATAAAATCATCCATTCTCCACATCATACACACATAAAAAATGTGATTATGTGTAATGACACAGAAGTCAGTCAACTATATATTTACTAAATGAAAAAAGGTGAAAATATATGAAAGAATCCTATATCTAAGTGCTAATGCACATGTATATTTGTTTCAAAATACTTTTTCCTTTTCTTTTCCTTTTTTTTTTTTTTTTGAGACAGAGTCTCACTCTGTTGCCCAGGTTGGAGTGCAGTGTCACATTCTTGGCCCACTGCAACCTCCACCTCCTGGGTTCAAGTGATTCTCATGCCTCAGGCTCCTGCATAGCTACAATTACAGGCATGTGCCACCACACCCAGCTAATTTTTGTATTTTTAGTAGATATGGGGATTCACCATATTAGCCAGGCTGGTCTCCCAAAGTGCTGAAATTACAGGCACTAGCCACTGCACCCAGCCTCAAAATACACTTTTTAAAAGGTCCAAAGAACACATAGCAAAATTTATAGTGTCGCTATGGGTGGACACATGAAACTGTAGAGAGGTATGTCAAGGGGAGACCTGTCTTTTTACTCTACATACATTGAAGTTTTTGAATCTTTATAAGCATAATTTAGTTTCATAACATTTAAAACAGAAAATCATAGTTATAATTTTACAAATTTTAGCAAATCTATGACCAAATACATGTGTGTTAAAATTAAGATCAGTTAGTTTCATTTTTTAAATTAAGCACGCTTTGAAAATGAGCAGACTGTCATTATCAGCCTGTCCCATACATATATATAAAATTGAAGATTATTCAAATTATGCTCCAACAATGCGAGAAACTGGGAACTCATCAACTCCTAAAGATTAGTTACTTCACTTTAAAAAGTTCAACCCCTTTGGCAAGATGTTTGTCATTATTCTGTTCTCATAAGTCATGTACAACACAAGAAAAGTCCTCTATCACATACATGTTACAAATATGTAAAAACATTGTATCTACTTCATACAAAATATTTTTCAATAATTCACTAATGGCCTAGTTTTTAAAACCTTCATCTGACTGTCCTTTGCTAATAATTATCTATCAGGTTGCTACTTTATGTCAGGCACCAGGCTAAAATAAATATAAAGCTGTACAAAGACATATCCTGCCCTCACTAGGTACAGCAAGCAAACAAAAAAAGACTTTACAAATACATAGGACAAAAAGGGCAGAGAGTAAACAAACAAGGAAAAGATCCCATGATGCCTAATTTATACTCTTCGGTTTTTCTCTAATAAATAGGAAAAAGTTAAGAAATACCGTAATACTTTTTTTAGAAATTATTCCAACCCCCGTAACTATATCTCTAGATGACTTGGAACACGTCACAGAAAAAAAAGAAAAAGGGAACGGGAGAAACTATGGAAGTATTTATGAATGACAGTTAAATAATAGGGAAGTAAAAGACAGTAGATCTGGCCCAAGTGCAGTGACTCACAACTATAAACCCAGCACTGTGGGGGGTTGAAGTGGGAGGATCACTTGAGGCCAGGAGTTCAAGACCAGCCTGGGCAACTCTTTTTTTTGCAGAGCCCATTCTCTACCAAAAAGTGAAAGAAGAATAAAATAATTTTTAAAATAATAGATTTGAAATATATAGCTGTATTTTTTTTAAAGTTTTAATCAACTGGTGTTATCTCTACAGTTCTTTGCAACATTAAACTTCTACTAATTTCAAATGCAGTTATTGAGAAGTTACATTATTTCTTTGCAGATAATCTTACAGCACCATCTTCTGGTATAATATCACCGTGCATAATCTAACAATCAGAAAATAACAATCATGTTACCATACTGGTTTTGTCATATAGCAAAACTTTACAGTACATGAAATTTAAAAATTCAAGATATAATAACAAACTTGGCAACCAAAGCGAGATGTTCTCTGTGAAACAAGAGCAGAGGTTTCCTAACACTGGGCTCACTAATGCAACCAGCAGTGGAAGACAAACTGAATTTAAATTAGAATTTTAAAAAGGTTTAGAATAGGGAAGGCTAAAAAGAAAACTAGGTTTACCAGATCAACAGAATAGAAGAGTGACAGGTAATAGCTGTCAGACTTCTAAGACTGAAGTGTTGGCACATGGTAATGGCTACAGCAGTATTGCTGCTTATACCAAAGGTTAGAAGAAACAGCTCAAAATGAGGCAAAGACTTAAATCATACATATAGAAAGAAGAAATAATTCCATTCAACCAGATACCATATGAAAAATACATGACAAAAATATGTATCTACAAATGTATACACATACTCATATTATAAAAGACATGATATCCCTTAATGTTTAATTTAGTCCTAATAAGACATAAAGGAATAAACAGTAAGTCTATACCTCCAGAGGGAAAGACTACAGTGAGTGAGTGCTCAGAAGTCACTGTTTTAAGCTAACATTTTACTGCTTACTACATGCCACAATCTAGTAAGAATTTTCAACAGATCTCTTTGAAATTAACTTAGTTAAGTCTGTTTATCTTTCTTATTCAGCTGAGAGAACTTATACTTGAAAGTTAACGAAGTGACTAGTAAAGTAGGGCACAGGAGGCAAAGCTACAAAGAAAGCCAGTTTGACTCCAGAGCCAGAAAACTACAGTGACTTGCAATTTAGATATACAATTAATCTACATGAAACTGGTAAACGGTACTACATACTGATGTAATCTAAATGCACACTCAGAGAATTTAAATAGTCTGACTTTTCTACTGACCTCACAATCTGAAAGACTGAAAACATGCAGGAATTTTTTAAGTTAACTTCCAATAACACCATAATAGCCAACACTTACTATGTGTCAGCCACTGTTCTAACTCATTTCCTCCTCGCAAAAGTCCCATGATGTTGATAGTGCTATCATTTGCATTTTACAGGTGAGACCAAACATGTTGCAGAGTCTATGCTTTTAACTGCAACTCCATGTTGTCCTTAAGGTGTATCATAATTTAGATTCGATGCACTCCATGGCTATATAAGTACAAAATAACACCTGCTTCCTGGAACGGCAATCTAGAGAAATG